CAGTAGACATCATTAGCATGATGTGTGCCTTTTGGCCAATGAGCACTAGTAATTATTACTATTCATGTATAAGTTATAATTACATGTATCAGTTATATGTAAATATATGTGAGTGCCTGGATCACAAGCCATTTGTCACAGGTTGGAAAAATACACCCCAGGCTTCTGTCATGAAGAATTTGGGCACCTGAGCCAGAAGTCACACACAGAAGAGAACAACGGTGTTAGGAAGGTTTCCTTAACAATGTTACCTGTTGGGAGAAACAGGATCTGGCTGACTGTTCTGTGTAACCAAACGAAGGACCTTCAAAAACCGCTGTGGGAAGTTTGAGAACTTCCCGAAGGAACTGGTCATATCTCCCATAAACCATCACTCCACTGGAGTCAGAGATCATTGAGAAAATATCTGATGGAAAGAAAGGGTGAAGGTATTTACCACATAAGCATGCTAAAGCTCTATCTCAACATCTCTTGTATTAATAATGCAGAGCAAGTATATTATTGATGAAAACATAACATGAAACCTGATTTTTCTGCCGAAATAGTCTCAGCATGATATCCATATCCAGTGTTTTCTTCTTGTTGTTCTTTCAAGACAGGGACTTGCTAAATGTCTGGTGTCTTTTTGAAGGTGAGTTGTAATTTGGGTAATATTAGCATATTTTGATAAGACAGAGAACATGATTTTGTCTTGAGGTTAGTTATCAACTCACATATAATGCTGCAAAGGTAAATTTTGTATATATGATACATACTGCTGTGGTTTGCAAGTGAAATGTTCCCCCACAGGCTCATGAGTTTGAACACCTGGCCCCTATCTGCCATGGGTGGTGCTGTGAAGGCTGTGGAACCCTCAGGAAGTGGAGCCTTGCTGGAGGAAGTCTGTCAGTGGCTGTGGACTTTGAGGTTCTATTGTCTGGTGCCACTTGCTGTTCTTTCCTTGCTACTGGACTGCTGATGCAGTAACAGGCTTGTCTCTTGCTCCTGCTACCGTGTGTTCTCTCCCACAACAAAGGGATCCCTCGGGAACTGTGAACTGAAATAAACCCGTCTCCCCTTAAGTTGTTTCAGTCAGGACATTTTATCATGGCAACAGAAAAGTAAGACAAAATTGCCAACATCTTAGGAAACAGAATGAAATTGTCACTGTAGCGGAACTGGGGGAGGTCCATGTATCATTTATCTAATTAGCAATTTATCCATTTGTGTCATTATTAAACATTTAGGGTTTGATTCATTGTCTTTGAAAAAATAAAGGGCACAATAGAGATAAGGATAAAAAGAAAGAAGCTAAAACGTAGTAACTTCCCAAAGAGGCAGAAAATTTTATAGACCACACTGTCCAACAGGGTGGAGGGCATGTGACTTATCAGGAAAGGTCTTTGTGTGGTGAAGAGGAGCCTGGCCTCACAGACGATCTATGAGGTAAAATCAGGCTTTCAGATTATTCCCCAGAGTACCTCTGCCTTCACTGAGCTGTGACCTCCCTTCTGCCATGATGTGAACTTAATGAACACTAACAGCTGAATTCCCAAGGTGCTTCCTAATCCTTTCCACCCCTCCCCCCAATTATCAGAATGAAAGGACTTGTCATCAGTTTATCTAATGCTAATTAAACAGCATTCAGCCAGTGTAGCTGCTGGGACAAGCTACAGTAAGTTCAATGTGCTACCTCTGTTCATTTTGAATGTAGCCAAGGCTATCACAAGCCATGGCTGTAACATTTACACTGTAATTCTATGTCACATATTGCAAGGTTTTACTAGGCTATGGTTTTAGGATGTGAATCAACTCTCATCATGTGAAATCTTCCCAATAAAAATGACGTTTCACAATTGACATTAATGGTGATATTGTAGACATTCTGAGGCTAATGTCCAAAATATATAAGGAGCTCAAATAACTCAATAGTATGAAAAAAAAAACCTTACTGAAAATGAGCCAAGGAGTCAAATAGATATTTCCTGCAAGAAGGCATACAAATTTGTTAGAGGGTTATTAAAATGCTCAGTGTCAATGATCATCTAGTAAATGCAGATGAAAGCCATGGCCAGCTACATCTCTAGTAAAAATGAGAAAAAAAAAAGTACAAAAGAGAAGCAGTGTGGGAGAGAACTTGGGGAAAGGGAATAGTTGTAAACTGTTGTGGAAATAAAAATTTCAGCCATTTTGGAGGTAAATAACACAATTAGAAAACATAGAATCATGACATGATCCAGCAATTCTATGCCTGGGCTTGCATCTAAAGGTGAGTAGTTTGTGGATGAAATATCTGTGCTTCCAAGTTTATGATGACATCCCAAACAGTGAAGATGTATGGTAACATAAGTGTCCTTCAACAAATAAATGGATAAGTAAGAGTAGCCCATCCGCAGTGGAATGTTGCTCAGCCATAGAAGGAGGAAATCTTACCACCTTCAACAATATTGATGAGCTCCGGGGGTATGCTGTTGAGTGAAATGAGCCCACACACAGTGATGAATATTACATGTTTAGACTCAAACAGAAAATAGACATGTTGATTTCAGAACTAGAGTATAGAATGGTTACTACTAGCACCTAGAGTACTTAAAAGACAGGCAGGGATGTCAACATGTTGTCAATGAATATGTAGTTATAGCTAAGAAACAGTTCAAGAGAGAGCCTTCACAGAAGGGTGACAAGGTCATGAAATATGTGTTAGTACAGTTGATGAATGTGTATGTTCTTGTCACAAAATACTGTATAAAATGGTGCATATATTAATCAGATAGATGTAACCATTTCACAGATAGATTAAACCATTTAATTTATATTAATTAAAAAAGAAATTCAATTTAAACCAAAGTGCTGTCTTCATCATCTCTGCAATGTTGCTTGCTTGCTGAGTTTTATCTCAGGCTCTAGTCAAACTGTTCAAGAATAAATAAATCAAAAAGAAGCTGCCAACAGGACAATATGTTGATTAATTCTGTATGTAAATGCTGAAACATTCCAATGAGCAGGGAGACAAGAAAACTTGGGAAAATCAGACTGGCTTTTCCATGGAAGCTGCCATCTTGCTTGCTTTGAGGAAGGTGGATGGTCCTAACAGGGTCACCCTGTGTCTCTTGAGGCTCTGAGTACCTTTTCAAATCACTAAGTGAAAGAATTCAGGCAAAGTTTCTATTCTGGTTTGAATGTGAACTAACTCCTTCCCTCTTGCTAATTTTTGAATATTCGGCATGTAGCTGTTGGTATTGCTTTGGTAGGTCATGGAACCTCTGGGGTGGGAGGCATTGTCTGCAGGTATAGCTTGTCAGGGCTGGACCTTAAAGGATAGCCCACCTCTGGTTCTACTGCTGACTTTTCCTGCCTCCTTATCTGACACATTATTAACAAGGCACCTCACACTCTCATTGTTATGGACAGAAGCCTGTCCTGCCACTAAGCCTTCCTCAATAGTAGACTGTTTTCTCTGAACTGTGAACCCAAGTAAATCATTTCCCCTTAAGTGTTCGGGCACACTATGAAGTATTTGGGCACAGTGAAAGGTAATGGATTTAATCTCTAACTAGAACAAAAAGCAGGAATATCCATAATGACCTTCGACATACTTGACACTAAAATGAGAGAGAATGAACTTCATTTGTGTCAAGGGAGGTCATCTTAAAGCCCAAGTAAGTGTGGACCACAGGGATTATCTGAAAGTGGCTATGGATGGCTTACTCAAGTCTTTAAAAAGAAATGAAGGAACTCCTGATGTTGATGTGAAAATAATACATGCTTATATCTTAGTTTTGGGCTTGATAAGTATGCATATATAATAAAAAGGATTATTCTCAGGATTCACCCAGTTAATAGATGTAAAGTATCCATAATAATACTTTACTTGTGGGACACCGTGTATATATTCTAGATATTTTCATTATTAATTTCATTATGTATTTTATTCTGTTGCTGACATCATTCATTCATATGAAATCCACAGTGGGAGTTTTCCTTGTGGCTCCAGATCATATTATAACCCCGTTTGTGTTTCCTACAGCAACATAACATGAATTTGCCATCATTGGTTCATTCAGCTACAGTCAACCTGATACATACTAAATGGGTAGCATTTTGCTAATCAGCGAATATACAGGAAACCATGATGCAGTTCTTGCCCTCCAGGAGGCTTGGAAGATTGAGAAAAGCTTGAAGTTAACATCCTGGTGTGAATACTGGGAGAGCAGGGTGGATGCCATGCAGAGGAGGAGCCGGTCAGGTAAAGTGTAAAGGCCACTGAGCAGTCAGCACAAAGGAGAGAATTGGTTTAAGGAAATGTGGTCAGGACAAAAGGGACTGCAAGCACAAGGCTCACAAGGAATCCGAATAGTCAGGGAGTGGGGTACAGACACCAGGGTACTGTGGATGGTGATAGCAGATAAAACACATTGAAACTTCTGCTATGGAATTCAAATTGGGGCTGGATGGTATCAAGGGGTGTGATGAGGGATTTAAAGCAAGCCAGTAAGTTACGGGCACAACCCTGGAGGTAGTTATAGAGGTAAACCAACCCATTTAGAGAGAGAAATTTGATAAAGACAAGGTGTTTGCTAAAGCGTGGGTCTTCTGAACTAAAGAAAAAGAAAGTGCTCAACAAGTATAGATAAAATAAGACATCCCAGGCTTATGGTCTTGGACTTGGAATTCCTTTAGATCTGGATTATTGGGGTTGAAGAGTTGCCTGGGTTGGTGCAGTGTTTGGCTTGCAAGCATAAGACCTTTGTTTGCACCCTAGAACTATGGAAAATTCTGGGTGTGGTGGTGCATGGTTGTAATTTCAGCACCAGAAGGGCAGAAACAGAAGGACCCTTGGAACTCACTTGCAAGTTTAATTGGTGAGCAACAGTCCAAAGAGAAACCCTGTCGCAAAGATGGACAAAATTCCTCCATATGGCTACTATGGTGTCTTCTATCACACATATGCCCAAGCACACATGCACACAGATGGGAGTATGCATATATCACATCCATACTTGTATGGGGACACACATGAACACACTTAAGAAAAATCAACCAACAATATTGTCTAAGAGACAAGTGTTCCCAACACATTAAAGCAGCTAATTACAAGACGAGAACAATTAAACCAAAAAGGAGGTCACTCTATGCTTATGGTGCTCTGCCATATGCCCACAGAAAGTACCCTTCTTTCTATAGGTTGTCTCAATCGTGCCACCAGGAGTAATGTGGTGAACACCACACTTATTGGGTGGTGGTGGCTAGTTATAAAATGGAATTAGTATCCTCTTTATTGCATTTTAAAGCATTTAACCACCTTTGCTTAATTTTTTCTGTTGTAAAATGTGCTCCTGTTGTTAGTTAATTGCCTATCAACCATGCATTTGATGTATATTTTAATATTTTACTTTGTGTGTATGTATGCGTGTATGCCTTGTGTGTGTGTGTGTGTGTGTGTGTGTGTGTGTGTGTGTGTGTGTGTGTGTGTGAAGATGAGGAAAAATGT